CTCGGGGCGGGGCGGCCGGGAGGGCCCCGTATGGAAGGCGGGAGACGCAGGTCCTCTGAGGATGCCGAGAAAGGGGTGCGCTCAGGGTCTCTGGGAGTGGACAAGAGTAAGGCGGGGGGCCTTGCTGGTGAGAAGGGTCGGAGCCTGGGAGTCGGGGAGTAGAGGTGAGGCGGGGGCGGGATAGAGCGTTCCTCCTCCCCCGCCCTGTCGGGGCCGACCCTGAGACCCGGGTTAGGCTCTGAGCCGGGGACGCCTATGTCATCTGAAGACCGGGTGGGGAGTTCCTGTATGGGGTGGGTGGAGGAGGGAGCTGAGCGTTGCTTCCTCTGCCGCCGGGGCCGACTACCGCCCCTCTCCAGGGGCCAGATTCACCTCTGACTGCAGTCCTTTTGCCATGAGGAAGTTGAGGAGGGACAGCTGAGCGGATGAGATGTTTGGGGTGTTCCAAGATGAGTGGGATTAGGCTGCATGATATCATAACTGTCTCCGGGAGCTGTCAGAAAACACTCTCATGTCCTCATACACCCACCCATCCACTCATCCAGTCAGTACTGCCAAGCTCCAGGCTCCCTGACTCTTTAAGTGACACCTCTAGGTCCCCAGAGCCCAACAGCGCATCTGCTCACAGCTTCGAGAGTGGCATGGGTGGAAGACATGGCCTGCTAGTGTCTGCGTAGGTTGGTGCTTTCAGAAACAAGTGGTTCTGGAGGTGCTGGATGTTTTATTAGAATAATCTGTGTAGTGCCCCTTGACAATGCAGATGACTCATGTTGGTCTCCCCCCCGCCCCCCTCCCCGCCAGCTTACAAATAAACTTTGTATTCAAGACACCAGTATGCCTGGTCATTTGCAGCAGTGATACAGCAAGAGACCCATAGTGGGGTTCTTGAGCCCTTGTTCTCGTCCTAGATGTGTTAGCAAGAAGTTCGACCTTGGATGAGTCACTTGCCCTCTCTGGACTTCTGTTTTCTTATCTGTCACATGGAGTATAAAGAGAGAGCTCGACAGTGTGATGGAGACAGGAGTAGGTTTCTGAGGGACACAGTGAAATCTTTTCCTGTAAGGCTGGATCAGCCACACAAAATAAGCCTCAGCCTGTTCTTATAAAGAAATTAGGATAGATTTAAAAGAAAACATGAGAAGCAAGAAATACTGCAAAAAGCAAAACAACAAAAAACTAATAGTAGTTGGTACTAGATTTACAACATGAATGCAATTTTATGCTTGCAATTAGTGTATTTGGTTGTCCAGCTGTCTTTACTGTAAAGTTGCTTATTGTGCTTAGAAAATATGTATTTCACCTGTGGACCCGAATTTTTTCTTGTTTTTTGACCTTCAAGCTTGGAGTGGACACTCAAGCTTGGAGTTGGATTGGTCTTGCTGGGGTTTGTCTGAAGAACATCCTCAGGGTCTCTCATTGCATAATATTACAGGTTCCTTCTGTCTGATGCTGGGGTCCTTGTACAGCTATGCGTCTGCCATCTTTTCCATTCTGGCTTGAGAAGTGGTGAGCTGGTTGCTTTCGTCTCTGGCATGTCCAGACTTCTCATTTCTTTTCAAATGAGTGTAGTAAAAGGCAAGCAGTACCTTAGATGCAGCACATTAAAAATTGCTCCAGGCAATCATGTGTGCCCCCTCCACCCTGCTCCTGTCCCCTAGACCCCCTGGGCAACTTCTCACTAGAACTTCCTGGTCATAAGCTAGCCTTGACATTTTGGATGCTGAGGGCCATCACAGCGATGAAATGACTTGACCTGGATCACACCACACATTAATGATCAAGCCATGGTGCTGGAAGAAGAGGAATTTTTTTTTTTAAATCATAACTGAATGTTCCTGTTCTTGTCCATTAGTAGCTTTCAAAATCCATATTGGGTTTGACCACATCATTTTCAGTAATCCTTTTTTTGTCAGCTTTTTGGAAGCTCCAGTTGGTGGTTATCTCTGAGTTTGGGGTAGTGGTATTTTATTATTAAACAATTTTTCAAAAAAATTATTTAAACTACTTTCGTTTCTAGACCAGATGAGGTAGTGCTAAAAATGGTATCTTCTCCAACAAGTAACGGCTTGATTAATTAGGTTGAGTCTTTAAAATATCTACTGTTTGTGTGTGTATACATTTTACTTTAATTGAGAAGTATTAATCAAAATTGTAATCGTCACCATTTGAGCCCCTGCCATTGAGCAGGCATTGTGAGGTAGGAGTGAGCATCATTTTACAGGAGGGAAAACAAAGCCAAGAGATGGCCCGACTCTGGTACAGCTGTTGTGCATAAGTTGTGATCTTTCAATCCGCCTACCATTTTCTTAACAGTGGAAAAGGAATTCTCAGCTATCCTATGGGGTTGTGCTAAATGAGATACTGTATGTGAAGAGGAATAAGTAAACTATAACAGCCTCCCTACCGCAGCACATTTTAACATAAGCACTTGTGGACTCTGAAAGCAGTGTGGTGAAGTGGTAAGTTGAAGCGCCTTGGGAGTCTGGCAGGCCTGCGTGTAAATAGTGAACCTAGCGCCTGTCCTCTCTGAGCCTGGTTTCCACATGTGTAAAATCAGGATAATACTGTCTGTCTTATATTCAATGAAATGTACATGCTAATTGCAGTGGGTGCTGAGTAAAGGTTGGCATCCACTCCTTTCCCTTGCAGACAAGTACTTGGAATAATAGGATTGAGTAAGTCAGCAGTTGTCCTCAGGGGGAAAAGGCTTAAAGTACTTTTTGTACTTATCAATAATTCTTCTAGCCTTTTTGCCTTCCCACCCCAAGCCCCAGCACGTGCAATGAATATTCTAGGGCCTGTGATTGTCTTGTCCAAGGGAATTGAAAAAATCATAAGCCAGAAAGGACAGGTCTTTGATAGAAAGTTGGAAATGGATGTAGCTGGTTTGTTTCCCTTTGCCCATTTTGTGGCCTTCTTCCTTTTTTTTTTTTTTTCTTTTAATTAATTTTGTTGGACAGGGAAAAGAAAAGATACAGAATTCGGGGGGTTCTAGCTGGAGGGGGACCCTGGAAGAGCCTATAGTGTAGGGCAGCTAGAGGGAGGAGTGGGCTGGCTGACTGTCAAAGCTAGAGTTTGGTGTGGGGGAAATTTCTGTTAGATGCAGGATTTGGCTAAATATGGGACCAATTTCCATCTAGTCCTTTAAGACCGTCTTTTGGGACTTTGAAGTTTTTGTGCTCCAGGCAGATTTTGACTGGTTGTGGTGGCATCACAAATGAGTTTCCACAGTAAATTGTATGCTGAAAGGAAATTAAATTCCAAGAGGGTGTTTGTTGTGACTGATGCCAGAATTTCTCTGAGAATTTTATTAACATTCAGTCTATGAAAGTACTTCTTAGTTCTCTGAAGATAATAATTAGGAAATAGTTTTTAAAAAGTAGAAGTGTTGTCTTTGTGAGCTTTTGAAATGTCATCTTCCTAAATCTTTGGAGCAAATGAGGCTCAAAACAACATAGAGGCTTATATTTTAAAAGCATTTCTTCCTAAATGTAATATTTTCCTTCTCTTCCTGTTCATTCCCTCCTCCCACATTATTTTGGTAATGAGTTAATTTTGGTTTCTTTCACATTGTGGTGGCCTAATTTTTAAGTTTATGACCCTTCATTTTTAGATCTTGCACGTATTTTTTTTTTTCCCTTGAGTCAATTCTCATTCATTATGAAGAGCTGGTATAGCAAGGTGGGAAAGAGAGAGGACCCTGGAGCTAGGTTGGTGAGATCTAGGCTCTTTAGAACTTGGATTCAGTTCTCACAGTAGTTCTAGGAGGCTGATCATGCTATCCCCAACACACAGATGTGAAAATGGGTGCAGAAACACATGTGTGTTCACATAGCCAGCAAGTGGTTAATCTAAGTGTCACTGCAATGATCTCTAGGACTCCAAAGCCCATGCTTCCAGCTGGAAAGGCAGGCAGGGGCCTTACATGCTGTGCCAGGGTTGGAACTTAGTCCTATAGGCAGAGAAGGTCAGGTCTGTATTCTAGAAAGGTAGCTTGGTGGCTGTCTATAGTTTCGAAGTGAAGCAAGTAGAAATTAGGAGTAGAGAAACTAGTTCATTGAAGTAATTGTCTTGAGAGATGATGAGGGCTTGAACGGAAGACATTAAGATAGTGGCAGTGGTGGCAGAGAAGAGGGGACTTGTTGGAATCCATAGAGCTTAGTGCCTTTGGATATTAGAATTGCGTCATCCCTTCCCGTTTCAGGTCTGATGCCCCAGGGATGGGTGTTGGAGATGCTGACTATGTGCAGGCTAAAAGCAATCTCTGCGGAAACCAGAAGTGCCGCCTTTGGTCTCTGCTAACAGCTAGAGAAAGGTGGCTGAGCAGAGTCCGAAAGGGCCTTCCCTTCCCTATGCCACCCCAGTCTTATCATTGCTAACTTTCCAGGAGCGTCGCAGAGGATGGAAGTTGGATTCCTCAGACTGCATTTTGGGAAGTACTAGTTTGAGCAGTCAAGGTTAGAAGTGTGGAAGGGAAGACACCTTCCTTGGGTATTGTCTGCACATCCCTCTTCCCTGGTGGCACAGGGGACCCACCGGGGTTTGGTCCTCAGTTCTGGCTGTTCCATAAAAGTTGATCTGCCCTAGATGGGGTTAACTTGTGGTCACCAAACTTGCAGGGCTTGACTGAGAAGCAGGAGTGGCAGTGAACATAATGGCCAACCCTGAGAGGGGTGGAGGTCAGCCTCCTCAGACGGGTGCAGTCTCTGCGGGGCACCAAGCCATGCTCAGGGAAGCGGGCATCACAGCCCAGGGAGATGGTTGGCTGGGGTCTGCATGTTCTGTCATCAGTAGGGAACACTGTTGCCACATCAGGAATATACTGGTTTTCTGTCCTCTCCCCTAGTCAGTGCCAGACATGGTAATAAACTTGCTTTTGGGCTTCTGTTTTTCCAAATTGTGCAATATCCCTGCCCTTCTGAGAGTTTGTGCTGGCTTTGGTCCGGCCGGAGGTCAGGTGGTCAGATTCTGGCTTTATTTGGGCTGTGTTCTCGCTGCGAGGAGGAAGCCAGGTTACCTCTGTTGGACCTGCCTGCTCCCAGCATCTCCAGCCACAAGCTGTCTCTGCCGGTGAGTCACCCGTGCAAGAGTCTGCTCACCCACTTTCGGCTTGATGTTTACACCTTTCCCTCAAAGAGGGAACCTCTTCTCTTCGTTTCGAGGGCACTTGTCGGCAGTCCCCTAAAGTGTCCAGTTAGTTTCTTTTGTGGGGCAAGAGCCCGTGCCAGACAGGTACATGTTTTAATGGGAGAAGAGCATTTCTGCCTATGGATATGAGCTGGCATGCCTGCCTCTTTAACATTATGTCCTGAGCAAAGCCCTTATCTTGTTGTTCTTTTTGCTTCATGTTTAGGTGCGTGTTTGGGTGTGTTTGCTTTAATTATTACTGGGAAGCAAAAAAGATATTTATCAAATGTTTAAATCTATAGCAGTGTCCCTGCTTAGGGAAGCAGAAAGAATAAGTATATATTTAGCCGGGATATCATTGATTTATTACTCTTTTTTCCATTTTGTTGCTGTTTTGTTGGCAGAACCATCTGATTTGTATACTGGTTCAGTTTGGATTTCAGTAGTGAGCGTGAAAAGATTCCTGGGCTGTTTGCCGAAGTGGAGGGACTCGAATGAGTGGGCTTCAGGGCTGCCAGTCTTGGCTGTCTCTGCAATCCCAGGAGCCTGGCACATGGTGCCTTTGTTAGGAAGGTGGAGTTTGGCCAGGCCGTTTCTTTGGCTTTGCCTGGGAGCAGCTCTGTTGGTGACAGTGGAGGCCTGCCTCTCCCGTGGGAAAGGGAATTCTCTCCTGATTCTGGTTTTGGCTTATTTCTCATCCTATGGGGATGAGAGGGAGGAAAGCCCCAGAACTAGTGAGTTTTGGTGATGGGCAGGTTCAGGATAGGACTGGTTTGCAGCTTCCACAGAGCTTTTACAGACGTTTTCTTACATCCCACATTTTCCTTCTTCCCTGTTAGTCCCAATTCAGTCTGTCATCAGTACCGCAGAAATTGGTTTGAACTTTGTCAGTCTTGGGAAGACCTGGGAGTGCAGCATGGAAACCTGTTCAGATTGGTGCAGCAATTTCACATCAGCATAAGTAGCTTGTTTTCGTGGTGGTGGTTTTTTAATCAGTTTAGTTGCTTTTTCTCTGAAATCATATAGGTAATATGCAAATGTATTCTCCTGCAGCCTGCCCTCCCATTTAAATAGTGCAGAAGGACACAGCAGATGTGTCACATTCCCCTTCACCCAGCACCCCTCCCCAGGTGCCACCTTCTCCAGGTCCTCAGAGATAACCAGTGTTAGCAGTTGGATCTGTGTCCTGAAACTGTCACCCTGTATACACAAATATCCTATGGTTTTCCTTCTTTTAGAAGCATGAATCTGATTGCATCATACTGCTTTTTTCACATAGTATATCTTCGAGAGCTTTTCATGCATGTGGCTCTTCTCTGTTCTTTTCATTTGCCTTTTATTTGCCTGCAAAATATTTTCTAATATAGGTATGCCATAATTTCTGAATTGGTCCCCTATTGATGAACATGTAAACTCATTAGTTTTGCTGTTATATCTTCATTCATACATATTAGTATGCACATGTTTTTCTAGGAGTGGAATTGGCATGTCAAATGTTAAATTCATTTAAAATGTTACAGCAGTACCCATACTATGCTCTCAAGAGATGCGCTAGTTCCTGTTACTAGTGGTGTATGGGCTGCCGTTCTCCTGGGTGAAAGAGATGGATCGTTGTTTAGTAGGCATTTCCTTTATTATTGGCTTCTTGATTCTTAGTGCTGAGATCGTAGACATTCAGAGTGGTGGGTCCGTAGTAACTATAGAAGATGAGGGAACCAAACCCTCAAGGACCATGGCTGAGCTCAGGGTGCTGTGAGCATCATGCCACCAGTGGTGGCATCGTGGGACCTGGAAGCAAGAGCTCCTGGTTTCACACTCCTTGTTTCTCCCAGATGCTAGGTGTGGTAATAGGACATTTTAATCTTGGTATAACTTGCTGGAGTATTTCTCCACATCTTTCATCTGAGGAACCAAGGGTCCGTAAGTATTAAGATCAGTCTGTCCTGCGCTGCTGAGGCATGGATTGGAGACTGGGAGGCGGCACTGGGAAGATACTTAAAGATTGTGTGCTGGAAAATCAGACACTGTTGCTTCTGGAAAAGCCTCCAGGAATATGGTAAAGCAGATCTTTTCTTCTAGTTGCCCGCTGTTCCCCATCTCCTGGCTTGCTATGGGAATATTGTGGTTCTTTGACCCTTAGCAGGATGCTTTGGGGAGAAGCGATGATTTCTTAGAAAGGTGTTTGAGGGGCGTGACACAATAGGCTGGTAGAGAAGGCATCTGATGGCCTCCATGAATAGGCTGATTCCGGGGCCCTGCCTGCAGGCTGGGCTGCCCAGTGGACACAGTGGGCTTCAGGAAGCCCTGGCTGATTGGACCACAGAGTCCTTTACCTATTGCCCAATGGGGTAGAGAGCAGGCATGCTGGAGGGGGAGCCCTTGGGAGACAAAGGGACTGCAGAGTTGAGCCACACTGGACCCAGCTCCCATTCAGCACCTTATGGGTATCTATATATACATATATACACACACACACACATATATATAAACATATATACGTGTGTGTGTGTATATATATATACATTTTTTTTTTTTCTAAGAATGAGTCTCGTTCTGTCGCCCAGGCTGGAGTGCAGTGCCACGATCTTAGCTCACTGTCATCGCTGCCTCCCAGGTTCAAGCAGTTCTTCTGCCTCAGCCTCCCTAGTAGCTGGGATTACAGGTGTGCACCACCACTCCTGGCTAATTTTTGTATTTTTAGTAGAGATGGGGTTTCACTATGTTTGTTGGCCAGGCTGGTCTTGAACCCTTGACCTCAAGTGATCTGCCCACCTTGGCCTCCGAAAGTGTTGGGATTACAGGCATGAGCCACGGCACCTGGCTAATAACTGTTTTAAAATGAGTGACTACATATTACATTTGCATATTACATAAGTAGACATAATCTGGTAACATTAAAGAGAAGAGGTCCGGAGATTAGCAGCTGTCTAGGGCAGATGAGAGTGGGGCTATGGGAATTAAAAGGGATGAAGGTGGGAGACTTGGGTGGAGGCCGTAGGTGGGGCAGGAGAGTTGAGTTGGGATGTTCTCTTCCAACACCGTTGCTCCTGCAGAAACCCCTCCTTTGTGCACACCAGAGCCCCACACGCAGAGGCCTTATCTCTTTTTTTTAGAAAGACAGATGGCTAGGGGATTGCTAGTGCAACCTCTGCCCTTTATTTCAAGGTGGGTGAGTGAGGCCCTCAAAGCCAAAGTGTCTGTCTCAAGCTACACAGCTGGCCAGGACGGAGCACAAGTAGGCCCAGCGCTCTGTGCTCTGGGGAGTTGAGATTTCTTTCCCTTCTTCCCTGCACTGCCATGCGTTGCTTATAGCCAGATACAGGAGAGACATGGTGTTAGGCACTTCCTGCCGTTTACTCCTCCCAAGGTTCTTGTGAGATGAGGTCAAGATATGCATGTTCTTCTGTTCCAACAGTGCCAGCCACAGATTGATGTCTGCTGGTTTCATTCCCCTGGTCACCTGTAATCAAGGGGAGGACCAAGACTGGATCCTGCCTGCTCTTTCCCACCACACCATGTATGTCGTTAGTTTTTCCTGCGTGGAGCAGCTCTCTTGGGGACTGGTGTGGCACTCAGTATTATTTATCAAATAAATGAGCAAGATCCAATTCAGTCTTTCCCTGGCTCTCGTGTCTCTGAAGTGAGAACATTTGCCTCTCCGTTTGGCCTTCTGGGATTAGTATAGCAACCCTGCCTGCCTTTAAGCTTATCCTCCTTCACTCAGAATTCATTCAGAAAATACACTGTTTTAGGTGTTGGGGGTTTTGCACCAAACAAAAGGAGCCAAAATCCTGTTCTTGTGGGGCCTGTTTTCTAGTGAGGATGGCAGACAGTAGTGATTAAAATACATATGTTTATTAGGTTCCCAGGGCTGCTGTAACAAAGTGCCAGAAACTGAGTGGCTTAAACAGCAGTATGTTTACCCATGGTTCTGGGGGCTCTGAGGGGAGTCTGTTCCATGCCTCCCTTCCAGCTTCTGGTGATTGGTTGCTGGCCTTCCTTGGTGTTCTTGGCTTTTGGAAGCATAGCTTCAGTCTCTGCCTCTGCTGTCCCATGGCGTTCCCCTGTGTCTGTGTATGAGTCAGGGTGCTCCAGAGAGACAGAACCAATAGGACATAGATAGGTAGGTGAGAGGGGATTAGAGCAATTGGCTCACATGATTTTGGAGGCTGAGAAGTCCTGTGACAGGCCGTCTGCAGGCTGGAGAATGAGGAAGGCTGGCAGTGGGACTCCATCCAAGTCCAAAAGCCTCAGAGCTAGGAAAGCTGATGGTGTAAGTCTCAGTTTGAGGCTGAAGACCTGAGAACCTGGGGGTTTGGGGGCAGGATGTGCTGGTGCAAGTCTTTCTTAGTTGACTGATTAAAATGCCAGTCTCTTCTGGAAACACCCAAATGATATAGTACTTTACTAGCTATCTGGATATCTTTTAGTCCAGTCAAGTTGACATCTAAAATTAACCATTACGGTTTGTGTCTCTGTTTTCTTATAAGGATGCTAGTCATTGGATTAGGGCGCACTCTATTTTAGTATGACTGTGTGAACTCTGACTATCTGAAGACAGGTCTCAGTCAGTTTAGGAAGTTTATTTTGACAAAGTTAAGGACATGCGCTTGTGACACAGCCTTAGAATGTCCTGATGACATGTGCCCAAGGGGGTTTGAGCATAGCTTGGTTTTACACATTTTAGGCAGACATGAGACAATCAGTGTATGTAAGATGAACATTGGTTTGGTCCGGAAAGGTGGTACAACTCGAAATGGGGAGGGGGCTTCCAGCTTATAGGTAGATAAGAGACAAATGGTTGCATTGAGTTTCTGATTAGCCTCTCCAAAGGAAGCAAGCAGATATGCATTTATCTCAGTGAGCAGAGGGATGACTTTGAATAGAAAGGGAGGCAGGTTTGCCTTAAGCAGTTCCCAGCTTGACTTTTCCCTTTAGCTTAG